CATACAAGTAATTTATGTCACACCAAACTACTTGATTTCAGATGTCCACACACACACACAGGTAGTTTATATCAAAACCAAGCTACCTGATATCAGGTGTCCACAGATGCACACAGGTAGTTTATATACATACAAGTAATTTATGTCACACCAAACTACTTGATTTCAGATGTCCACACACATACACAAGTAGTTTATATCAAAACCAAGCTACCTGATATCAGGTGTCCACAGATGCACACAGGTAGTTTATATACATACAAGTAATTTATGTCACACCAAACTACTTGATTTCAGATGTCCACACACACACACAGGTAGTTTATATCAAAACCAAGCTACTTGATGTCAATGTCCACACATACACACACAGGTAGTTTATATCAAACCAAGCTACTTGATGTCAGATGTCCACACACACTTAGGTAGTTTATATCAAACTAAAGACAACTGATGTAATATGTCCACACACATACACAGGTAATTTATATTAAAACTAGAGCTACTTGATGTCAGATGTTCACACACACATACAGAAGTAGCCGACCTAGAACCAAGGGTACTTGACGTCATATGTCCACACACAAATATTCACTATCTGAACCAATGCTATTTGGTGTCGGATGTCTAAAAATAAAGAATGTTTCCACCACTTGAGAGAAAACACGCTTTCGTAAAATAAGATAAATCTATATGACTAACTGTAGACAAAGTTTATAATTGTATAGCAGAGACGGCGGGTATGGGTATTAAAAACTTTAATTAAAATAAAGTACAAGAACAACGTTTCGACCTTCTTAGGTCATCTTCAGGTTAACAAAGACAGTTTGAAACTGACCGTTATTGGGCACATGTCCTAGGGACGAGAATATGAACAGGTACGAGATTGTAGGGGCGTAGCAGTTAGGTGTTAGGTGATTAATATAGATATAAAGGTGTTCCTTTATGCTGGTTCAATTTTGGTTTGGGTTCTTGTATATGTAAGGCTTCTTTGATTTTTCGTTTGTTTGTCTTTGTTTCTCTACTTAATATGTTGGTTTTTCTATGCTTATATTGTGTTTATTTGTTTTGCAGTGTTCAAAAACGTGGGAAGATGTTTTTCTGTGTTCACTGAATCTGGTTTCCATTTTTCGGCTTGTTTCTCCGATATAAAAGTCGTGGCAGTTGTTGTATTGTATTTCATAAATAATGTTGGTGTTATGTTTGTCAGTGTAGTTTTTACATAGTATAGATTTTAGTTCTGTACCCGGTTTTTGAATGAATTTAGTGTTTATTGGAATGTTATGTTTTGTTGTAAGTTTTTTCCAAATGTTGATTATATTATCGCTAATAACGGGAACATACGATATGAAACAGTGCAGGGTTTTATAGTTAGTTGTTTTATTGAATTTATTATTTTTTGTTTGCTGTTGATTGTATTGTTGGCCTAGATATGTTTTTTTTTCGACGGTTTTTGAATGAAATTTATTGACGTTGATGAAGTGTTGTTTTAATTGTTTGAATTCCTCGTTAATTTTATCGGGTGAGCATAGTCTTGTGGCTGTGTTTATTTGGTTTTTAATATGTTCAGTGTTTGTTTTGTTTCATGTGCTGAGTCCCAGGGAATGTATAGTCCAGTATGCTCACCAAATAAAATTAACGAGGAAATCAAACAATTAAAACAACACTTCCTCACTCTCGTCCCTAGGACATGTGCCCAATAACGGTCAGTTTCAAACTGTCTTTGTTAACCTGAAGATGACCTAAGAAGGTCGAAACGTTGTTCTTGTACTTTATTTTAATTAAAGTTTTTAATACCATACCAGCCGTCTCTGCTATACATTTTTACTTCAAGTGGGGAGGGGGGGGGGCATGGCCAGGTGGTTATGGCGCTCGACTCCCCGTTTCACCAAACATGCTCGCCCTTTCAGTCGTGGGGGCGTTGTAATGTAACGGTCAATCCCACTATTCGTTGGTAAAAGAGTGGCCCAAAAGTTGGCGGTGGGTGATGATGACTAGCTGCCTTCCCTCTAGTCTTACACTGCTAAATTAGGGACGGCTAGCGCAGATAGCCCTCGTGTAGCTTTGCGCGAAATTCAAAAAAACAAACAAACTTCAAGTGGGTTTCTCGTCATCATTAAAGTTTATAACTGTAAATATTTGTTTAAGCTTCATATATATTGAAAACAAAATATCCTGTAAACATAACTGTTCCTTTTTCTAGATGTGTTATTTATTTTATATCGTTTTATTTATTTATCACTGAAAGAGCGAAAGTAGCATAAAACTTACTTTCCATAAACATAGATGTCGCTGCCGACCAGAATAGAGACAATATTATCAGTTGGTTTCGCTGCAAAAAAACCCTGTAGTGTACAAACAATCTCTGGACGCAACCGCCAGGCAAAAGCCATTTTCTTCAAAGCTTGACACTTCTTAAGTGAGTACAGTGATGTAACAGACAATATTAATGATTTCGTTTCGTAACCTGGAAGCACTTGTTCAATAGTTGCCTTGAAGTTTGGAGCTAAGAAACAACGATGCGTTAGATATCATTTATTCCATAGTATATGCAACCTATAAAAGAGCTTGACATATTAATAACTACGCCATTGGAAGCTATTTTCCTGTTCAATGTGATATTCGGTAATCCAAGGACTGTCGGTGACATTCTAAGTTTAATAATGCATATTTTACCGTGATACATGCAAGCTAAGTTATTTCACAAAAACATGAGTTATAATAAAGTATCATTTAAATCTTGTAAAGTATTATTCTAAAAATATAGATTTTGCCACACTAACTGGCACGTGACGTGACAAACATGCCAGCAGGGTCGTAACTACCCTTCTCCCAGCGTTAGACACTCAGAGATTCTTTCATCGGGCAGAAAAACAGTCTACTGGTAAACATGTCCAATTATCGTGAGATACTCAACACAATACTCAGATAGAGAGAGAAAAAAATCAGTGCCCAACATTATTACACTTACTACTACATAAATATCAAGGACGAGTATCTTTCAATGATACCAAGAAGTGAGTGATCAAATTATTTCATACAGGAAACAATGATTTTTTTCTCACCTGTCGGGAAGTCGTACCAGACAGCTGTGTGAATCTGTATAGGTTATTATACACTGTAACTTTAAGATTACTATGATTTTTTTTTTACCAAATGGACGCCAATTTCCCGAGTGAATGAACAGATAATTTAAACTTGGGTTAAGTTCATTTGAAATTTTGTCGTTTTGATACCCGCTGATTTGTCAGTTGTCTATTTCATATTTTCAATACAACGTACGTAATACCTACATACGTGAGAGGAGCTATACGTATCTCTAAGTCAAAATGAACCGATACTTCCACTCTTCTCCAATGATCACACCTAAGTTACGCCCCTGAGAACCAATTTGCTTTTTCTTGAATAAGTAGACATTCAGTATTTAAACATTAACATAAATCACTTTATGTAATTATTCTCGCTTTTTTTTTTAATCAAACGAATTTAGAGTAAAATAAGTATTAGAATTATTTTATTTGTCAGAATCGAGACACGTTACTTGCGATAAAGCAATGCATCCAGACTGATTCCATAATATCTGATGAATAATTAGCTTGAACAAAAACTGAAATACTTTTTATATAATTGGGAATTGAAAGCTTAGTTAGCTTTTCAAATGACTTGGCAAGCACGTTTTGAACGTACTGAGAAAATCCCTCCAGGTGTCTGGGTGGGTGGAAACCGGTACCAAACTAGTTACACTGTCACTGGATAAAAACGCAGCTTCTCCCCAGAATGGTCGACCAGAGATCCTATATTGGTTGAAGACTTGTTGCAAGTTCCGAACAAATCGCTTCTGGTCAATCGCTATGAAAAGAAAGTAAACAATTCGCTAAAGTCCTTTTTACGCAAGCAGCATAAACTTATTAATTTATTATCATGTGAATGTGTCAATTTGCAATTTTATAAAACATCTAGTTTACATTATTTTCATCTCTGATAATGTGCTCATTTTACGAATTCTGCTTTGTTTATTGATAGTTTCAGCAGTTCTTCTTGCTCTGTTTAACAGTTTATATGTTTTTAAGCACAAAATTGTACAACAGGTTAAGTGCGCTGTTCCCAATGCAAAGTTGTGTCACAAGCCTTCAAGCTTATTTCTGAAAGATCGAGGGGCTAATATTTTAATGAATATATATATATATTAAACTTCACTTGTATTTGAAAATAACTTTGGACTCATCTTCACGATCTTATTATCTCACACAAATATTCTAATCAAAATGGACTTTCTTTATATAAATAAACGTTTTTAAATAGTGATGTTATATCTGAATGAAAACACAAGACATATGTGGAAAGAAATAATATCTTGTAGGTAGGGCCGCCGAAGGGGGTCTGATAGCCGATGTACTTATCCCGGGACATATATCTGATCTCGGTGGTTCCAGTTAAACCCACTTGCAGTCTGACGTAACTGTTAAGGAACTTTTTATCGGTTAAACAAGAAAGCTGTTTATACTAAAGTAAAAAGGGATAAACAGAAAACTTGGTTGCATGTACATGTTGGAGTCTTTTAACCGTAAAGGTATTCAAATTTATTAACAGAAATCATCACTTCAGACTAAGTAAATCTTTATTGGGGGTTCAATAATTATGCTTACAACTAACATTAATTGTCACTGGTATTAAAGACTGACAACTTCAGATTAATGCCAGTTTTCGTTAGTACTCGGGAATTAAATAATGTTATTCTCGTGTTCAGGAATTACAAATTCAGACTAACGTATTCAGGAATTGGTAAATCAGAGCTACTGATAGAGACTCCAGTGAATACGTGCGCTTGATTGGTCAGATACTTAATGACTCCAGTGTACATGTGTTCTTGACTGATCAGATACTAATAGTGGCTCCAGTGTACATGTGTTCTTGACTGATCAGATACTAATAGTGGCTCCAGTGAACATGTGTGTCTGATTGATTAGATACTTATAGTGGCTCCAGTGAACATGTGTGTCTGATTGATTAGATACTTATAGTGGCTCCAGTGAACATGTGTGTCTGATTGATTAGATACTTATAGTGGCTCCAGTGAACATGTGTGTCTGATTGATAAGATACTAATAGTGGCTCC